AAAAAGGTGAGGAAAAGTAGAGTTTTCAGTCTTAATAAAGAAGCAGAGATTTTTTTTTTTTTACCTCCCTCAGTTCTTAAAATCTGTTTTTTTTTCTCAAAAACAAAACTGGTCCCCTTCAAGTTGTTAAGACCCTTCCTTTTATATCCCAAAAACTGACCTCACTCCCCCCATGTGACCCTTCTGCTTTTCCACTCAAAAACTTAAAGAAAAGCCCTCCCATGAGATTCCCTGAACACCCCATTTTTTATTGCTAAAGTGGGTTGCCTCTTACTCTAATTAGCAAGTATGGGCAACCTGAATATGCCCTGACAGCACATGCTGTCACATTTGCTTTTATTCAATAAAGAACTACAAGGCACATGCTGTCCGAGATCTAAAACGAGTGAACAAGCTATCCATTCAAACTAAACTCTGAAATCTATATTAAAATGCAGCTATAAACCAATCCTTAACTGATTTCTGATTCAATTAACACACCATGAGCAGTTAAAATCAATTCTTAGCTAACTCAAACAATGCCTTAGTAATAATTTAAACAGCATGGTCAGATTACTACCATTCCAGACTGAAACTAATCGACAACGTATATCGAATCGAACTATGTGAATCACAATACGCACAATCAATAGCAAATGAATTAGAATCAACAATATTAACAGGGGGTTCAAATTGCACTGATAGAACAAAGTTAAACCCTGGGAACTAATTAATCGATCGAAATTCATTTCAATCGATTATATTGTTAAACACATACACTCATCAATGAATAGAAACAGAAATTCGACCAAATAAAAGGTCCGGGCAGGATGGAGGGAAGTGAAAGAACATGTCAGAAATATCAAACAAATTAATTGAACATGCTGACAAACTAAAACAAACGTTTAAAACAAAAATGGAAAGGAAAAAGGAACTCACTTTGAAAGCTTAACAACAGACGACCCCAGCTTTGACCAGATTTGCCCATTTCGGGGTCGAACAGACTTTAATCGAGGTGTTCTCAAATATGAACACTTCGATTAAGGTCTATTAGACCCCAACCCTTCGTTTGAACTGACCGGATTCCCACAGTTCTTGTGTTCTAGGGTTCGAACAGTTTAGATTTGGGGTTTTGGGATTTGTGGGTAGATTCGGACCAAACCAAGCTTGGTTTGGTCACGAGTGAGGCTAGGGTAATGGCTGGTGTGAATCTGAGATGGGTTGGTGTAGATCGGAGTTTGGCTCGAACCTTCAAACGAAGATTCGAGGAGATGGGGAATGATTCGAGGCAAGGGGATAACAGATCCATGTTCAGGGTGGTGAGGTGCCTCAGGGGTGTTACTCTGGCGGTCATCGGCGTTGTTGCCGTCGGGTTTACGGTGAGGGGAAAGGGGGGCGGCACTAGAGTTCTAAGGGATTTGGGGTTTGGTGAGGGAGACGACCTAAGGGAAGGGGGGTCTGGCTTGGGGTGCGGGAGTGAGAGGTGAGAAAGCTTATATACGGGACGGGGGTTTGAATATTGGCCGTTGGATCATTGATGATCAACGGCCTTGATCTCTCCACTTAAAGAGACGATGTCGTTTGGTTTAATTTTGGGGATGGGTCATTCCGGGTATCCGTGGGTCGGGTATCTGGGGAAGGCTTGGGAGCCGTTGGATTGGAGGGGATGAACGGCTCTGATTGGTCATTACTAAACGACGCCGTTTGGGTTTATGAGGGATCTGAACTGGACCGTTGGATCTGTTTGACCAACGGTTCAGATGAAGGGTGCCAAAACGGCATCATTTCTTTGTATCTGGGGGGGCCTCGGATTGGATCAATGGGTTTGGGCCTGATTTTGGGTCCAAAACCAGCCCAATTCCGATTTAAACTCTTTTCTTTTCCTTCTTTTAATTTCTAAAAATCTCAACTAAATTGTAAAAAATAAAACTATACAAATATTTAAACAACAATTATCACACACATTAACATTTAATTAAAATAAAATCACTCAATGACAACAAATAGAATAAAAGATGCATATTTTTTGTGATTTTCCCTTTTAAAACCAAATTATGGTTTGATTAATTTCTAACAGTAGAACGATATCCTAAACTTACATGCGATATATATTTTTGTATTTTTATTCGACAAAACTAAAACCTCACAGACAAAACTACAAATAATTACCACAAGATCTCGCAAATTCCAAAAATTTGGTTAAATAGGAATCATGGACAAAAACTACAAATAACTACCAAAAGATGCCTCGCAAATTCTAAAAATTTGTACAACAAGACAATTTGTTTTATTTTCGATTTCTTTTGGAGTAATTGTTGTGTAAACAAAAATCACGTGCTCACATATATAATGTTGTTGCGGCGTGCAACCCGATCCATATATAATGTTGTTGCGGCATGCAACCCGATCCATATATAATATTTACAATTATAACGAAAGTCCCGATAAGAGATCAATAAGGTCTACACTATCCCGACAAGGGATTCGACAGCATAAGAAATCACGTCCCGACAAGGGAGAAATAGCTATAACCAAACTCGTTACAACATCTAACCACCTCAGCTATAACCAAACTCATCACCACACCTAACTACCTCAGCTATAACCAACCTCATTCTGACACCTAACTACCTCAGCTATACCCATAATCCCTACCCAACACAAAGAATCATCAACCTAAGCATCCGTAAATCAATTAAGAACACAATGCAAGGGAACCACAATTCAACAATAGCCTGGCAAGGGGGCAACATAATGATCTCTTCTCTTTCTCATTCTTACTTTACAATTCACGTCACAACTCGAGAAAATGCTCTAGAGTTTCAATTATCACTTATACTTTCACAACTCGAGCCAATGCTCTAAAAGTTCAATTGTCACTTATACTTTCACAATTTCACTATACAACTTGAGCCAACGCTCCTCAATATTCATAGGTCACATTTTTTTCCACAAACTTTATACAACAATTAGAAATCTTCACCAAGACATGAATAATACAATGAAATCATGAAAATCATAATATAAGACTCACGGTCATGCTTGATACCACCGTATAGATACTTGACACAATGCCTATACGTCATACTCAACAAGAAGAAAATAGCAAATAGGACACAACTCCTAATCCCTCAAGCTAAGGTTAGACCAAACACTTACCTCGATGCCACAAACACAATTCACAATTCAATTATAGCTTTACCCCTTGATTCCACCGTCAATTCGCTCGTATCTAACCACAAGTTCTTTAATTACATCAATAAACGCTAAATGAATCAATTTGAATGCATGAAAATGAGTTTTTCAAAGTTTTACCCAAAAAGTCAAAATCTCCCCCAGGCCCACATGGTCAAAACCCGAGGTTCGAACCAAAACTCGATTACGCATTCCCCCATGAACTCAAATATATAATTTGTTTTGAAATCGGACCTCAAATCGAGGTCCAAATCCCCAATTTTTGAAAAACCTAGGTTCTACCCAAAACACTCAATTTCCCCCATGAAAATCATTGATATGAAGTTGAAATCATGCTAAAAGATGTTAATGATAGAAGAAAACTAGTTAAAAATGACTTACAATTGATTTGGAGAAGAAAGGTTGTCCGAAAAATCGCCTCTTATGTTTTTGGGGTTTTGAAAAATGAAAAATAACTGAAAATTTCGTCTAAATATACTGCCCTCAGATGTCCTATGCGGACCGCACAAAGTCAACTGCAGCCGCACAGCACTAATTGTGTTCTGCAGTGATAGGTCTTAGTATTTTGGCCATAACTTTCTCTACACATGTCTAAATGCCTATTTATGTTTCTGAAAACTAGACACGAAGGGCTACAACTTTCGTTTTTGAATCATCTCAAAATTCCTTATGAATCAAAAGATATAGGCTTCCGAAGTCAGACTAGTGAAGTGTTCTTCATCGGGACCGCACCAAAACTAGTGCGGCCGCACAAGCCCCTCTGCGGCAGCAGTCCATATCGTGCGGATCGCACTGGCCTGTTCAGAGGCCTCCCACCTCTCTGAGCCTGCAACAACTCTGTTTTTAAGCCGAAGACGTCCCAGAAACTACCTGAAACTCACCCGAGCCCTCGAAACTCCAAACCAAGTGTACACAAAACTTTAAAAACATCCTACGAATTTATTCATGTAATCAAATCATCAAAATAACATCATGAACATCAAATTAAATCTCAAGATCAATGAAATTTTCTCAAAACTTCTTTAAACATCAATTTTTGCAATTTAAGTCCAAATCACGTCAAATGACATTCATTTTTCACCAAATTTCACAGAAACATCTTAAATTATGTATAAGACCTGTACCGGGCGTCGTAACTAAAATACGGGCCCGATACCATAATGTTCTAAGCAAATTTCATTTCAATTTTCCTTAAACAATTTCCTTTAAAAATTCATTTCTCGGGCTTGGGACCTCGGAATTCGATTCCGGGTATACGCCCAAGTCCCATATTTTCCTACGGACCCTGCGGGACCGTCAAATTACGGGTCCTGGTCCGTTTACCCAAAATGTTAACCGAAGTCAAATTAACCTATTTTATAACCAAATTGTTATCATTTTTCATAGATTTTCATATTTAAGCTTTCCGACTACGCGCCCGGACTGCACACGCAAATTGATGTAACTCTAAATGAGGTTTTCAAAACCTCGGAAATACAAAATTTAATTTAAAGCCCTTTTGGGTCATCACAGCATTCAACATAACAAATTCATGAAAACAAAAATAAAAATAGTTAGCTTATAAGCGTTAAGAGGTCGTTTGGTTTCCAATATAAGTAAAATGGTCCAAACATAGAACTCATTATAATTAAAACAATTATTCGGTTTGCAACATATAACTCTACATTATTAATATAATATATATGTAAATAATACACACATGTATCCGATTATAAAACTCTACATAACAAATGCAACACTTTATCACATATATTTTGCATCAGTTAGTAATTATAGTCTAAGAGCATTTCAAATAATTTAAACCATACAAGTTATGTGGACAGAGAAGTTAAAACTCATATTAGGCATTAAAGAAATAGAAGAACATACAAGTTTATCCTCTGTTATAAGAGGAAGAATAATACATATTTATATAGTAATAAACCCCTTTATTCAAACATTACATGAAAGGAAATAAAGCCACATTTGAAACCTTAACTCTTTCAGAAGTCATACTCCTCACGATCCAAGAGAAGCCAAGATCCATCCTGTTGTTGAACCATCCCTTTGTGCTTGTCAACCCCACCAAAGCCCAGGAATACAACATTCATCTTTTAGTATGTCCCCCTCTCTAATTTGTCACCTTTCATATGACTTAAGAGTTGTCTAAATGTTAAAGGAGGGNGCCCACCAAAGCCCAGGAATACAATATTCATCTTTTAGTATGTCCCACTGCTTATTGACAAGTGAGATATCACGATTCACCTCTAGTTTAAAACCTGCTAAAATTCCTATTCCTTGAGTGCCTGCAACTCCGTGCAAGTATGGCTCCAACAAATGCCAACTGACAACTTCTCCAGGAGGCTTCACATATGGGGATTTTGTGGTGTCAATCATTAGTTCCTCGCCGACGTCTATATAGCCAATGGGTGGGTATTTGGGGACAATATCCAAAACATTATGAATTCTCAAGATATGAAGATTATTCAGCTTGGAAAATGCCTTATGAAAATTGAGATCCCCAACTTTAGGACTTGCGAATACAAAAGCTGTCACTGGAAATTCCTTGCCTTCGCTTGTTTTGTTGATACCATTGAAAGCTATGTCAACCGCGTTTAGGGTTGCAAGTGACGCACCTAGGCTATGGCCAGTTACAGTAATACTAACCTCTTCATTCTTATATTCCTCAACCAATCTTTTCACTTCTTCAATTACCTGACAGGAAGAAAACAATCAACTATATTATATATAATCTTCAGCGATCATCAAGGTAGTAATAGTAATTCCTTCGATACAAAATTAGAATAAACAAAGTTGCAAGTATGCTTCAGCGATCATCAAGGTAGTTCAGTTTTGCTTCAGTATTTGAAAATATTGAGGAGCTTTGAAGTGTGGTTCAGATTAAAAACTTATATCATTAAAGTCTGATATTTGTAAAAGATAAATTACTTGAGCAGTAAACAATCATATTCTCGTAAAAACATGGAGCTTTATCAAATAAGCAAGTTAATACGCACCTGATCCCGGGCACTAACCTGATTAAACTGTGATCGTGGATCTTCTGTTGTATAAATATTGTAGAACCCGTGATGCACCAAAGGTTGAAGCAAAGAAAGCAAACCTCCGTCACCAAAGACTTTAGGTCCTGGGACAGCTAAAAATTGAAGATCATTCACCCACTCTAACTTCTGCATCGTTCCTCTCCAATTAACCACAATATCTCTCCTTCCCAGTGCAACTTTACCCTCATCAGTAGCCACAGCAATATACCCCATAAAATTTGATTCTTTACTCCATGCTTCCCTTGACAATGATTTTACAATGAAAGCATCAGGAAGTGGAATGGATGCAGTTGCATAGAAAAATTTGGTTACACGATATTTCAGGGGGTCAAGTCCAACCTTAGTAAAAAGGCTTTCCATTGAGTATCTGCTAGCTCCAGCATATTTAGACGCTTTCTCTGTGATGAAAGTGTCATAAGTTGCTTGAGCCAATTCTCCATATTGAATGATATATTTACGTAGATCAAGATCCAAGGGCCTTAGTAATCCTTCCCAATTGTTTTTTCCACTAAGCTGCTCCCAATTCTCAGCCATGTTAGCCATGTCTCTCCGGCCCCTTTTTTTCTTAATTTTATGTATTTTTTTCTCTTTGTTGCTTATTAATTTCCTATGATATGTTCTTCATTTTGCCCATCTGCAAATGCCAATTTATAGTGAAGGACTTCAATTATTAGTGCTTGTCATGGAACATGCTTTTAATTTTTTATTCTTAACAATGTCACCATCTCACCATCATCAGACAATTCAAAATGGGCATATCAACCGTGCAAATTAGAATCGTTTCCGTTTTTCTGAAGGGTATTCTTATTGAATTACTGGATAAAAAATATTTACGTGATCAAATAATTTAAAGATTTATTTAATTCAATTGGCTATAAAAGTTTTTTTTTTTTTTTTTTGTTATCAGTGCCAGTGACAATACAAAATTACATTAAGCAGATTTTTTTTAAAAAAAAATTGTGTGGTAAGTTGGATGTATTATAACGAACTAGAACGTAGTGCATCTATAGTTTGACTTTTCTGGAACACACAATCTCAATCATGTGGCAAAATCTCGTAGCAGATTGATATTGTAAAAAATACTTGAATTATTGTTGTATTAAATTTAAACCCATTACTAGTAACCAATCTAGCGACTACGACCATCCCTTTCATGGCAGGCAAAATTAGAGTAAAATAAAAAAAGTACGTACGTACCTAAGAAAAATTTGCAGGGATCACATATCCATTATGACAACTTGACTTGTCCCGGTTAATTAAGTGTGCCTGCAGGTGAGCCAGATCAAGGATTAAAATTTAGTGGGTTCAACTTTACATTAAACTAATTATATTATTAAAATTTTGTGTTTAAATTTACTATTTGTTGAGATTTTAATAGATTTTTACATATATATCTATATTCTGTGTCGAAAATTATGATTTAAATACCCATAGCCGAAAGACTACGTCCCCTGCCCGCAGAATCATTGGAACACTTTATAAATATCAAATTAACAACGTCAATGGTCGTTAATGTAGCACGTCAAATAACAGCTCAATCTAGCTAACAGTAGGGTATACTCAAATCTTGACATGCAACCGCCAAATCTGAAAGAAAATAACCTTAATTATTCTTTTTCCCCAATATATTCAGAAAGCCAAACATCTTTAGGATGAATTATCACGACAGTTCAACCCTTTTTCCTAGCAGACCAAAATAGTGAGTATATTCAAAAAGTTTAGGAGCTTCAGCTCAAGAGCCTTGTTACCACTCCTTTTTGCAAAACCTGATCGAGCCCGTCAGGAATATCTCTAGACATCTGTTTTGTGGGAAAAATATTTAATTTTTTTTAGAAAAACCCCTACAAAGTTTAAAAAATTACATAGAATTTATAATTTGATATGTCTCTGTGTGTGCTAAGAGAGAATCAATCTGTTTTTTTTTTCCTCTTCTTCTTCTTTTGACTAATTTAATACAAACCCAGGTCAAACAACATTTTTTTTATTTGGTTCAATTTTTTTTTGTTTTCTCTTGAAAACCCCCAGTAATCCTTACTTTTTCTATAAATTATTGAAATTATTATTAGGAGTTGGGAAAAGGAATTCCATGGTTGTCCAAATAGTGTGCGAAGGTAAAGTTGTTATCTTTTGTTTAGCGCGTAAATGGGTCATTGTCCGGTCTTTGGTCTTTCAAATTTGAATACAAAATTGGCTTGTCACTTTGGTCTGTTCCGTATACGGGTGTTTAACGGGTGGGCCGGGTCGGGTTGGGCAGGGAAATTTAGTACCCGTACGGGTTATGGTACGGGTCGATTACGAGGTGGGGCATACCTGGTTAACGGGTTCAGGTTCATCCGGGTAAAAATTGAACCGTAAGGGTTACGGGTTCATGGGCCCGGGCCGGGTTAGTGTTATTTTTAAATTTTATTTTTTTTGTATTTTGTATAACTATTGTAAGTTATATTAATATAAAGTAAAAATATAAAGAATACAATGAAGATGGAAAAAAATTGCACTTATAAAGTGCTACATTTATTTCAAAATTCAAACTTACAAATTGAAAGATTTATATCTAACAACAAGTAAATTAACCAAAAAAAAGTAAATTCAAAGGTTTTGTATTGCCTTAGTAAGTTCTTCATAATCAATATGAACTGAGTGACCTTCTTCTGGAGTGTTAAATTCGGATGTATTACCATGTGTTAATATATCTCCAAGTTCCTCGTCTTCTGGGCTATCAACATCTTCACGTCCTTGATTTCTTCGTTCCGATCTAATCCAATCTCTGAAATATACTAAAACTTCCAAAGCATTGCTTCCCAATGAGTGACGGGTGTGTCTCCAAGTTGTTGTCTTGCTTGGCTAAATGCACTCTCTGATGCAACAGTTGAAATTGGCACATTCAGCACGTCCCGAGCCATAGCGAAAAGAACTGGAAATTGCTTTCAATTCTCATACCATCATCCCAACGATGAAATTTGCTTTGTGCGAGACTCTTTTTACTTCTGCAAGTAGAATTGAAGTTCATCAATGTTCCTGCTACTGGTTTGAGTGTTAGAAAATGTAGGAAAAATATTAAAACTATCAAGGCCTTCTTCATCATCCACAGTAGCAGAAGTGGTACAGTGCATAGTGGGATTAACATTGCCTACATTAAGAGCATCATCATCAATTATATTTGAATAATAATTCTGTAATTGTTGTAAAGATTCATTTAGCTTGTTCATACAAGCATAAAAATTTGGGGTTTCAGTTGGTCCAATCTCCATATAAGTATATAAAGCATTCCTTAATTGGTGACAATCAAACATCTTAATAGAAGGATTTAAAACAGCACCAATTAAGTAAATCGGAGGAATTGGAAAGAAATATTTTTTGAATTTTGCTTGCATTTTTCAAAAACATCCCTATATTTTTCTTCCTTCTTAAATTCAAAGAGTAGAAAAGAAATTTCAGCTATATGTACTAAAGCCATAGTAAAAGTAGGGTAATATGCTCCAGAAAACTCAATAGTAGCTGTATAAAATTTACATGTAAAAATATAACAATATCATTAATGACCTCCCAAGTAGTAGTTGTTAACATACGGTTTGGATCAGTACAATGCGCATTAGCAACTTCAGTTATTGGGAATCTATATTTGTTGCAACATTTTAAAAATATATATGTATAATTCCATCTAGTAACAATTTCGTCTGTCATGAATCTGGGTTTAAGGTTATACTGGATACACTTATTCTTAAATTCCTTTATTCTAGATTGTCTATTATTTCCTTGAATAACACCAACTGCTCTTCTAACATGAGTAATCTCAGTTGAAAATAAATCAAGGCCACTTTTAACAATTAAATTATAAACATGATATACACACCTAACATGAAAAATTTCATCAAGAGGTGGTTTCAAATGCAGTTTTAATATTGAAATTGCGGCATTATTGTTAGAAGCATTATCAAAAGACATACACAATAGTTTTTGCTTGAGATTATAAAATTCAACAACATCACAAATAGTATTGCTTATAAACGTAGCAGTATGACTCTAATCTTCATCATATTTAAAAGCGATAATACGTTTTTGCATACAAGTAGTATCATCTATCCAATGACATGTAATTGTCAAATAATCATTTCCATTAACAGCATAGCCAATATCAGAAGTTAGAGAAAAGGTGGCTAAACAAATAATGTATGTATGTTTGATATTGTCCATGAAGTCTAATGATATCAGATCTACAAAGTACTTCTAGGGATACCTTTAAATAAAGGATTGTAAATCATTTGAATTACATAATAAGATATGACGAAGAAGCAAAATAAAAGGTAGACAACCCAAAGCAATCATTTTTGCTAACTCCTCACGATCCTTCATTTTATCATATTTCACAAGACCTCCAGTAGTAGGGTTTAGAGTTGATTGATTTCCATCTCCATCAGATCTCCATTCTATAAGATGCTCAATTCTCATATGTCTACTAAGTGTCCCAGTCCTCCCTAATTGTCCTCCAGTCTTATGTTTAAAAGTATCATTACAAAGTTTGCATTTAACTCTATCACTATTCGGTATGTCTTCAAAAAAATTTCAAACCTTACTTCTTTTTCTACGATTACTAGTCGGGGCCACGGGTGGTATACTACTAGCACCACGACCACCACCCCTTCTACCAGCTCCAACACTACTAGGTGTAAGTGGTATCTCATCTTCCATTTCTAATTCATTATCTTCTATACCGAAATCTTCCTGGAATTGTTCATAATCTATATTATTATCAGGTAATGTTTCAAAAATATTTGGAGAGGTATTTAAATTACTACCAGATGCTGAAGCTGAAGTACAACCTCTTTTTTATTTTCCCGATTAGTAACCTTGTTACAAACTCTTTTTGCAGCATTTAACTACTAGCAATAATTAAATATGCAAATAAAATAGTAAATAAGAGAAAAAGTTGGAGGGAGTGCACCGAATTCGGCAATATATTGAGCACTTGATGATTTCACAACTCCAATGTTACCACGAAGAAATGTCAATTGTTCCAATTTTGAAGTTCAATTGTTCAAACTTCAAATAATAAATACTACGATAAATTAAATTCCAAAAAAAAAAGAGCCAAATAGTTGATTGCACTTTAATAAGTGAAGATTNTAAAAATGAAATTCAGCCGCTGGGCAACGGCCATAATGTGAAATGGACTGTTGCCAACGGTTAGAATCTGAGGACCACGTTTAAAAAAATATTGTTACCATTAAACCGGTCTAGGACGGTCCGGGCCGGCCCGGTTAACTGGATGAACAATGTTGTTCGTTGACCGGGTTTGACCGGTCCGGTTAACCGGTGGTTCAAATGTGAACGGAACAAACCGCCCTACCCCTATTACTCAACCCCACCCGGCCTCCTTGTACCGGTCCGGGCCGATTCCGATTTAACCGATTTGGGCCGGTCCGGAAACAGGTTGACTCGGCCCGTTAGACACCCTTAGTTTCGTATTCTCGACATCCAAAGAGATATTTTTCTGTACCTCTTCTTCTACAGTTGATTAATGTGAAACCAATGAGGGTGATTGGTACACAAATGAGAAATATATTATTGTGATATTGTTATCAAAACTGTATTGGTGTAAGATTAATAAAACAATAAACTTTCTG